AAGCTCAAGCTCAAGGCCAACCCCGTGATTCAGCCATGGCGCCCATGCAACCAAGTCTTGGCCCACCTAGGGATGAGCCTAGGGTGTTTGGGCTTGACAAGTTGAACGGTGACAACTTTGCTGAATGGTCCTTCAAGATGGAGAACATCTTTGACCACTATGACCTGCTGGAGGTGATGGAAGGAATGGAGAAGCGCCCCGAGAACGACCCGGAGAAGAGCCCGTGGGTGCGGAAGAGCGCACAAGGCTATCTCTTACTTGGGCAAGCGTTGGGGAGCAGTCAGATCCGTCACATCAAGCCATTCCAGCGTGAACCAGAGAAAGGACCAAAGGCATGGGCTGCTCTCAAGGGTGTACATGCTCCTGCAACAGCGGCGGTAGCGGTGGTGTTGGAACGGCAAATGGCGGCACTACGAATTGAAGAAGACGAAGCGGTTGAAGAAGGGGTGCAGAAATTCTTCGACTTGTTGACGCGGCTTGAGGGAGCTGATTTGAACTACAGTGAGCTCCAAAAGAAGACCAAGTTGCTGGCCTTACTCCCAGAGTCATGGTCCTTGCTCATCATCAACCTTAATCGCGACTTGCCCCGCCTCTCGCTTGAAAACGTGAAGCGAGCTATCCTTCAAGAGGATTTCCGCCGCTGTGAGTTGGCGAGTGCGGATGGCGCTGGGGCAGCGAGCATCAGCCGTGGATATGGTCAAGGAAGAGGCAGAGGACGAGGGGGAGGAAGGTTTGGTGGCAGCAACTTCGGCGGAGGCCGCAGGAGTGGCGGTTACGGCAGCGACGACAAGAGCTACGGACGCGGTCGCGGCCGATTCGACGGCGAGTGTCACTATTGCCACAAGAGCGGACACATGTGGCGCGACTGCTACAAACTCCCTGATGGTTGGACCCCTGCTCAAGACCAAGAGGGTAGAGGAGCAGGAGGAGGGAGAGGACGAGGCCGTGGAGGCCGTGGCGGTCGCGGTGGCGGAGCTGCAAACATGAAGAGCGGAGACAACGACAAGGACCCGAGCGACGATCGATACCCGGGTCTATTCTACTTCGTGTCGACGCAAGTACCGGCTGGTCCAGAGAAGGATGAAGGCTTTGAGGAGCCAGCAGCTGTGGGGAAGGTGACCCTACACCCCCTGGACTATTGGGTGATTGATAGTGGCGCTACCTATAGCATGACACCTCGCCCGGACTTGCTCACCGAACTCGAGCCGTCACCGGTGAAGCATGTCACATCGGCTTTGGGGCAGCGAGCAGAGGTGAAAGGCATGGGCAAGGCCATGTTCAAGGGTGCTGATGGGAAGATGGTGGGCCTCAAGAACGTGCTTTGGGTGCCCAGCCTTGCTGCAAACCTGATTTCCGTGCGGCGGTTGGCAAAGGCCGGCATGGACACGAACTCGAAGGGAGCCAAGACCTACACCGCAAGGCTTGGCGATCGAATTCTTTGGGACCTTCATGAGGACAGGGATGTCTACAACGAGATGTGGCAGATCCCAGTGGTCCCTATGCCTAAGGAGAGGCAAGTGGCAGCAAGCATCAGCACCAAGGATGGAGCGGTCGGTAGCGACGATGGCGCGAACGGTCGCGCTAAGGAGAATGAGCTCAAGAAGAGCAAACCTGGAGGGACCAGCAAGTTCAGTGAACCTAAGGAGAGTGGTGCAGCAACCAAGGAGCAGCAAAAGGGTGAGGAGAACCCAGAGGCAGTAGCGGAGGAGGACTACGGAGAGAGTATGTGGGGCGCTATTGCGAGCGCGGCATTCTCCAATCCAACTTCGGCTACGGGGGAGTGTGATTGGCTCACCTTGCATCGGCGCATGGGGCATGTGGCCCTGCCCATCTTGCAGCAGCTAGTGAAGAATGAGATGGTTGCTGGCATACGTGTGAAGGGGGAGCCCGATGAGGTGCTTGGCTGCCCGACGTGCATTCAAGCCAAGTTCACCCGGTTTCCGTTCCCTAGTTCGGAGGCAACGGCAAAGGCACCGCTTGATGAGGTGGTGATGGACGTGGTGGGCCCCCTGAAGCTTGGAGCTGCTGGAGCTGAGTATTTTCTCACCATTGTCGATGTCTACACCCGCATGACTTGGGTGTACGTGCTGGCCAAGAAGAGCGACGTGGCTGAAACGTTGAAGACGGATTGGTTTCCGATGGTGGAGCGGCAGCAAGACCGTCTAGTCAAGTCAATCCGCACCGATCGAGGGGGAGAGTTCCTGAGCAAGGAGTTTGGGTTGTGGCTGAAGAAGAATGGTATTCGGCACTCCCTCACCATGCCATACTCCCCTGCAATGAACGGCATCGCTGAGCGAGCGAACCGCACAATCACGGAGGCGGCACGCGGGTTGCTCATTGAAGCCGGGCTACCCGACTATTTCTGGCCTGATGCGGTGCGGAGCGCGTGTGTGGCCAAGAACAGAGCCTTGACTCATGTGGGAGCAGACAAATGGGTGCCCTATGTGGAGTGGCTAGGAAAGGAAGCCAAAGGTGGATATGCTTCGGGTGTTCGGGTGCATGTGCATGGCGCTCGTGCCTAAGCATCTTCGGCACAACAAGCTTGGTGCCAAGGCGGTGTGGGCCGTGCACTTGGGCATGGCTCAAAACAGCAAGGGATGGCTTCTTTGGGACCCATTCACCAAGAAGTTCTTGGTGAGCAGGGACTGCAAGTTCATGGAGAACTTCATGTACAAGGATTGGAAGGCGGAGAATGAGGCGAAGATAGGCGTGCGGTTTGGGGAGGTGAAGAGTTCCGGTTTGGAGCATGTGGAGCTGCCTTTGGAGCTGAGCAGCGGCAGCACAACCACAAGGCAATCCTCCCTTGTGAATGGGGGAGAGGAGGCCAATGATGCAGAGGAAGAAGAGGAGGAGGTGCAGCAAGTGAGCGAGCGTGCACCGTCACTCCCTTCCCGTACTACGAGTGCTCCACGGATTCGAGCCACACCGCAGCAACGCCAAGGCCTTCAAGTCCCTGCAGCTGAGGAGGAAGGAAGGGGGAAGAGGAGAGTTCAACCCCCTAATAGGCTGACCTATGATGCGCCGGGAAAGCAGGGCAAGACAGCCCTGGCCGGAGCGGCAATGATGGTCGGAGACGACGAGGAGAGTGACTACGAGGAGTGTGCCTTCGCGTTCTTCTCTCCGGTGGAGATGCCGGGAGAACCAGCAACTCTCAAGGAGGCTTTGGAGAGTAGTGATGCTGAGGAGTGGAAGAAGGCCATGGAGAGTGAGCTGAAGAGCATCGAGGAGAATGACACGTTTGAATTGGTGGAGCTACCGGAGGGGCGTACGGCGATAACGTCCAAGTGGCTCTTCAAAATCAAGTCGGATGCCGACGGCAAGATCGAGCGCTACAAGTCTAGGCTTGTAGCCAAGGGGTACCAGCAGAAGGAGAAGGTGGACTTCAATGAGCTGTTTGCCCCTGTGGTGAAGCCGACGACGCTGCGAACCCTATTCGCGGGAGCCGCCATCAAAGGATGGGTAGTAAAGCAAATGGACATCGTAACGGCATTCCTTAACGGCATCCTTGAGGAGGAGATTTTTATGGCGCAGCCAGAGGAGTTTGATGATGGTAGTGGCAGAGTGTGGAAGCTGAAGAAGGCCCTCTATGGGCTGAAGCAGGCCCCTAGGCAATGGTACATGAAGCTGCGCGAAGTGTTGGAGGGGATCGGCTTCACTCCCTCAACGGCCGATCACTCCTTGTTCATGCTTGGCGAGGGGGAGCAGAGGAGTTTCATGGTGGTTTATGTGGATGACATCCTCATTTTCTCACCCTCTTTAGAATAATTGTACAATTATTGTAGGGCCTGAATAATTAAAGTCTAGAGGTCTGGGGGTAGAATTCTTTCTTGATGGAGCTACCATTTTTGGTGCACCATTGGTGTGGATGGGGTCATTCTGAAGGGGGATTGCATAGGATAAATACCATGCTCTGTGCTGTGATTAATCCATTCCATTGCTCTCATTCTGCTTTCAAACATTTCAGTGCAAGCCTTTCAGCCTTACTCTTTCTACATTCTAGCTTCCGCAACGCTGGCATCATGTCTTTCTAGCACTTGGGACTACCGTCATCGCCCGGATATAAGACATATATGTCTTATCTCATACACTAAAAAAAATGCTTGGGTTATCTTGTATTTGGGGAGGTTTTGGGTGTCCTATAAGTCTTATAAATGGAAACTTTTTCTAACTACTTAAAAATATTTTCACACATCTTGAAAATAGTTTCTCATTATGAGTGTGGATGTTGCAAAGGTGCCACTTCGGCTACCATTGTTCGGGGCGCCACGTCATGGAGAATACTTGCAGAGGCAAATTTGGTAGTACATGAGTCAGCATGTGGCAGAATTCGCGTGTCGCAAGGGTAAAAATGTACGCGGTACTTCAATTTTCACTAAAATATATTGCAGTTTCGATTATAAGACACATATGTCTTATCTCGTACACACAAATAGGTGTCTTATAATGAGGTTAGCCTGTTTATAAGAGACACCCGTGTAATAGACAACCCCTGTCTACTATTCAACACTGTCTTATATCCGGGTGATGACGGTAGTATATCAGCTCTAGTTTGCTTCATTTTTTCCCGTGTGGTCTGAAGAAGGCTACCGTATAAGCCGAAACTGGTTACCGCCAAAAATGTCTCTACAAGAGATTTCAAGCAAACCTTTTAACTAACAACATCAATTACAGTTGAATCAGTCGCTGCCACGTAAAGACATGGCTCATATCTGGGGCTCCATTGAAAAATAAGTTTTGGTAAAAAATATATTCATATATTGTTAGGCTATAGCGGGGCTAGCCTTAGGGGGTACAACTTCTAGAATTTCCAACTTGTACTCCCATCCTGTTAGTTCATATCATACCATTCCCGTTTGGTACGTTATTAACAGTGGCAACACCCCACCCCCCCTCCCCCCCTTCTCCCCTCTTCCCCCTTTCCCCACTCTTACCCCTCTCCGCTGCTGGGTTGGGAAGCCCCGCGCTTGCGTGCTAGGGGTGGAGGGAGAGGTGAGGGAGGGCTACCCCTTGGAGGGGGCGGCCATGTTCTGGTACACCCTCAGCTCGCCCATGAAGCTGCCCGCCACGATTACCAGCCCCAGTGCCGACGCCCTCTCTGCCGTGCCCTCGCCCCACTGCCACCCCCCTCCCTCGCCCCCTCCTCCCCCTGCCCCTCCTCCTGCCCCTCCCCCTGTGGCTGCGGCTCTGCCCTTGGGTGGTGTGGGTGCGGCAGCTGCTGCGGCGGCTGCCATCTGCTCTTTCCGTCTCGATGCTGCTGCTGCCGCTCCACCCGCTGCCTGTGCTGCTGCCTGTGCTGCAGCACCTGGTACAGTCTGCGTTGGCCCCTCTGTGCCTGCCACTGCTGCTGCCGCCGCTTCCAGCCCGTCGGCTGCACTGCTGCCGCCGCCCCCCAGCTCATCACTTGCCGCCCAGGAGGGGGAGAAAAGACGAAGAGGGCTTCGTGACGCCCCTGGGGCAGCAGAGTGCAGCGGGGGCTTGCTAGCGCCTGCTGCTGCTGCTGCGCCCCCATCTGCTGCTGCCACACTCCAACCTCCGTCCTGCACTGCCTGTCCCGAACCATCGCCAGGCGCAGCGCCTGCCCCGCCATCATCGATGGCGGCCACAGCAGCTTCAAATCGCTCCCTCAACGCCTTGTCCGCCTCGCCCGACCCCCCCAGGTCCGTGGACGTGCTGTGCTGCCCTGCACTGCCGCCCACGCTGGCACTCGTGGTGGGGCGGCTGGGATTACTGTCCCCATGGCTGCCCCGGCTGCTCTGCTCCCAGTCCGCGCCCGCCAATGTTGGTGAGGGAGAAGGCGCCACTGCTGCTGCTGTGAGGGCAGCCGTACCCCCGTAGAACAGCCCCACTGTGCTGCCGCCATTGCTGCTGGCAGCGGCAGGCGCTGCAGCAGTGGCAGGGGAAGGAGCAGCACCTGGGCGTGTCGTGAGGGTGGCAGCAGGAGAGGCGGAGCTGGTCCCCCGGGGGATGAGACGTGGCTGGTCAGGCAACAGGCCGGGCAGAGAGGCGCTGGCAGCACCACCTGAGGTCAGCGACGACTGGCCCACTCGCCGCCTCTCCACCCCCAGCGGCCACACTGCCACTGCACTGCTCACGCTCGGGCACGCAAAATACTCGTATGCCTTCTGCCGGTCATTCGGCTGTCCGGTTTTGGCAAGGAGCCCAGGCGGGTTGAAGAGGAAGATGGTGCCGTCCTCACTGGGCATCACGATGAAGTCACCACCCACACTGACAGCCGCCGCCAGGTGCGAGGCGGTGTTCTTGTGGCCCTGCAGCTTGCACTTGAGCTGCGCGCCCTGGTACAGCTGCAGGCGCGAGTCCGCCGCCGACACCAGCACGTGGGCGGACGACCCCGGCACCGCCTGGATGCCCGTGATCTTCTTCGGAGGAAGCTTCTTGGCCTTTGCGCCGCGCAGATCCACTGACTCGTCCAGACTCAGCTCGCCGTCAGCTGCCGGGCAGAGCATGTATGGGGAGAAACAGGTCAAGGAGTTGAACGAGTGCATGCAGTGAGAGGGGTGAGAGGGGTTACGGAAATGCAAAATTCTGGCAATGAGGATGGACAATTTGCATGAACGCCGTGGTCTCGTGTGTTCTCTCGTGTGCAGCATGATGTGGTTACCAGAGATGGAGTAGAAGCGGCAATTGCCGATGGCTGTCCCCACTGCTATGCCCTGTGAGAGAGCACGGCACCGCCACACAGAACAACACACCAGGGAGAGAATGGTTAGAGCTCCACATTCACACTAGGGCACAAAACAGTGCATCCATACGAGAGCGTTACAAAGCCTTCACAGCACGCTCCTCTCTGAGCACACAAAGCCTTCACACCACGCTCCTCTCTGAGCACACAAGGCTGTGGCAGCACGGGCGGGCGCACCTGGGCGTCAGGGGTGAAGGCACGCACCTGGGCGTCAGGGGTGAAGGCACGCACCTGGGCGTCAGGGGTGAAGGCACGCACCTGGGCGTCAGGGGTGAAGGCACGCACCTGGGCGTCAGGGGTGAAGGCACGCACCTGGGCGTCAGGGGTGAAGGCATGCACCTGGGCGTCAGGGGTGAAGGCACGCACCTGGGCGTCAGGGGTGAAGGCACGCACCTGGGCGTCAGGGGTGAAGGCACGCACCTGGGCGTCAGGGGTGAAGGCACGCACCTGGGCGTCAGGGGTGAAGGCACGCACCTGGGCGTCAGGGGTGAAGGCACGCACCTGGGTGTCAGGGGTGAAGGCACGCACCTGGGCGTCAGGGGTGAAGGCACGCACCTGGGCGTCAGGGGTGAAGGCACGCACCTGGGCGTCAGGGGTGAAGGCACGCACCTGGGCGTCAGGGGTGAAGGCACGCACCTGGGCGTCAGGGGTGAAGGCACGCACCTGGGCGTCAGGGGTGAAGGCACGCACCTGGGCGTCAGGGGTGAAGGCACGCACCTGGGCGTCAGGGGTGAAGGCACGCACCTGGGCGTCAGGGGTGAAGGCACGCACCTGGGCGTCAGGGGTGAAGGCACGCACCTGGGCGTCAGGGGTGAAGGCACGCACCTGGGCGTCAGGGGTGAAGGCACGCACCTGGGCGTCAGGGGTGAAGGCACGCACCTGGGCGTCAGGGGTGAAGGCACGCACCTGGGCGTCAGGGGTGAAGGCACGCACCTGGGCGTCAGGGGTGAAGGCACGCACCTGGGCGTCAGGGGTGAAGGCACGCACCTGGGCGTCAGGGGTGAAGGCACGCACCTGGGCGTCAGGGGTGAAGGCACGCACCTGGGCGTCAGGGGTGAAGGCACGCACCTGGGCGTCAGGGGTGAAGGCACGCACCTGGGCGTCAGGGGTGAAGGCACGCACCTGGGCGTCAGGGGTGAAGGCACGCACCTGGGCGTCAGGGGTGAAGGCACGCACCTGGGCGTCAGGGGTGAAGGCACGCACCTGGGCGTCAGGGGTGAAGGCACGCACCTGGGCGTCAGGGGTGAAGGCACGCACCTGGCCATCAGGCATGAAGGCGGCGGCAGTGACCATCTCGCCCACGTCCACCCAGTCCAGCACGGCGCCCTGCGCTGCCGCCCACACGCGCACCCTCTCATCCAGCGCCCCCGTCAGAAACACATTCGCCTGCCGCGGGTGGAACGCCACCGCCGTCACTGTGGGGCAGGGGGTGCAAATACGTGTCCTTGCACGAGCATGGAACTCAAAACAAGAGATACAAGAATGGACAGTAACAGGCAGTTGCAATGCAAATTGCAAAAGCCCCCTATTCAGTTTGCACACGAAGCGGGCCCACGAATGCCGGCAGCTCGGCGCGATTTATGGTGGAACAGTGCACTTGCCTATGTCGGGGTGGGGGAAGACGCGCAGGCAGTGCGAGGAGCCGACATGCCACAAGCGCACCGTCCTGTCCGCTGATGCCGACACCAGCAGCGGGCGCTGCATTGGGAGGGGGGGGAGGAGACGGAGGGGCACACGTGCATGGGGACGGCGATGGGAGGTCTTGTATGCATGGATATGTGAACAGTGGGTCTGGCAAGGAGGGAGAGAAAAGAGGATCACTGAGGCAGGTGTTGAGGAGGGGCATGGGGAGGAGCATGGGAAAGGGCGTGGAGGAGGGGTGTGGGGAGGGGCGTGGGGAGGGGCGGCATGAGGGGCGGCATGAGAGGCGTGGGGAGGGGCGCACCCCGTTGGGCGCCCAGGCGAGGTCGAGCACGTCAGCAGAGTGGCCCGTGAAGCAGCACAGCGCCGCCTCCTGCAGCCGGAACAGCGCCACCGCCCGCCCCATGCTCGCCCCGCCACCCCCGCCTCCGCTGCCACTGCCACCCGCGCGGCCGCGTGGCGCTGCCTCTGGAGGTGCGTGGGGGGCGGCAGAGGAGGGGCGCAGCAGGGGGTGCATGGGGGAGGAGGGCACGGAGCGGAAGCCAGACGACAGCGACGCCGCGTGGGGGAGGGCAGGCGGGGCCATCTCCTCCGATGCGAATGCCGGCGTGCCATCCGACCGCTCCCGTGGGTACCCTCTCACCCGCACCTGCGCTTCCTCCCACCCCTTCACCGTCGCACCTCCTGTGCTCCCCCCCCCAACCTCCACCCCTCCACTGCCCCCTCCCCCACCCAGCCGCCCCCCACGCCGCTCCCACGTGCCCACCACCACCTCGTCCGCGGCGCCACTCCCCTCGCCCACCCCCCCTGGCGCCCCCTCCACCCGCCACACGCGCACGGCGCCGTCCTGCCCGCCCGTGGCGAGGTAGCGCCCGCAGCAGCTGAAGCGCGCCACCCACACGGCGCCGTCGTGCGCGCCGCGCACCTCCTGGCGCAGCCACAGGTCGGACAGCTGGCGGGCGGGCTTCCTCACAGCCGACACCTTCACCCTCACCGGCCCCACCGCAGGAGCGCCCAACGCCCCACCACCCCCGCCTGCTGCCGCCCCTGCTGCTGCTGTCTTCGCCGTGCCTGGCCCCGAGCCTGCTAGTCCGGATGAGGTTAGGCCCGAGCCTCCCAGAGGTCCGGCAGGTGGCTGGTCTGAGCGCTCCCCTGCCTGCACTGATGGCTCCCCCGGCCTCTCTCCCTCCCCCGACCATCCGCCCCCATCCCCGTTGCCCTCCCCCCCCACCGCTCCCCCTCCAACCCCCACACCGCCCTCTTTGTCCTCCCCCTGCCCCCCCTTACTCTTGCCGCCATCCTTGCCCTTCCCGCTGCCACTGCCACTACCACTGCCGTACCCAGCAGCACGGCGGATGGCCTTGAGCCACCCGCGCCCACGGCTCGACTTGGGCCGGCCCTGCCCGCCACCCTCCCCCCCATCCTCCACGCCGCCCCGCTCCTCCTTGCTGCCCTCTCCACCCTCCTCCCCGTCCATCCCCTCCTCGCTTCCCCCCACCCCTGCACTGGCCTTGCTCTTACCCGCCCTTCGCCCCCACCTGGACTTCTTCCCACTCTCCTCCGGTGACCCACTCTTGTCGCCACGCTGCCCCTCCCGCTCCCCCTCCCCGCCCCCTTTCCCCCCCACTTCCGCTTCCCTCTTCCCCCACGAAACCCCCTCCCTCTCTTCGTCTCCTTCCTCTTCCTCCTCGTCCTCCTCCTCCTCCTCTTCCTCATCCCCCTCCTCCTCCTCTCCCGCCTCCTCGATATCAGCGAACACCTCGCTGCGCGCCACATCGCCCTCATCATCATCATCTGTCAGCCCCAGGGTTTCCCGCCGAGCACTCACAAACCGCACCCCTTCACGGTACTCCGCGTCCGACCCCTCCTCACCACTCTCAACCGCACCCACCTCTCCGCCATCCCTCCCCTCCTTCTCCGCCTTCCCTTCCCTCTCACCGCCCTCCCTATCACTCCCCACGGCGCCTCTGTCCCGTGCACTGCTACTTGCTGCAGCACTCCCTTTCCCTTCCACTGCGCCCTCTGCTGGCCTCTCCTCGCCCTCGCCTGCACCCACCATGCCACCAGCTGCAGCGGCTGTGGGCGCCAGGGGGGTCTTCTTCTTGCGCCGCCGCTCCACCACCCTCTCCTCGCGCACCGCCTGCCGCACGGCCCTCAGAGCCAGCAGCGCTGCCACATTCTCCCCATCCGCCACGCCCTCAACCCCCGCACCGCCCACACTCCCCCCACCGGTGGACGCCCCCGCCTGCCCTCGCCCCCTCATTGCCTTCCCCCCAAAGCCCCACCGCACGCCCTCCGTGCCCATTGCCCCACCAGCGCCTTCCTCCCCCCCCCAGAGCAGCAGCGCTGGGTGCTCCACGAGGTATTCCTGGCCCGAGGCCGTGTCGCGCACGCGGATGGCACACGCCACCTCCAGCCGCCGCTCCTGCTCCTCCCCACCGCCCTCCCCCCCAACCTGAATGAACCCCACCACGCCCCACCCACCCTCTGCCCCCACCGCACCCGCGGCCCCTGACCCGGCAGCGCCCTCGCCCGCCCCCACGGCCACCTCAAGCCCGTCCAGCCCGGCTTTCCTCCGCGCCACCGCCGCTCTCTGCGCCGCCGCTGCTGCTGCCAGCGCTGCTGCCTGCGCCTCCGCTGCTGCTGCCTCGCGCGCCCACTCGCGCTCCCGTGCCTCGCGCTGCTGCACCAGACCCACGCCCCCCAGCAGCACGCCCCACGACCCCGCCCTCTCCCCCTCTCTGCCCCCGCCCCTCGATACACTCACATCCTCCGCCACGTCCGCCAGCCCCCCCACGCCCCTGCTGCGCGCGCCCTCATCGCCGCCCCCCGGGCTGCCCAGCCCTGCTGGCCCATCCGCCCCCACCGCTGTGGCGACGCGGCGCCGAAGGCGGGCAGAGCGAGGAGTGACGGAGGCCCTTACGTGGGGCGACACGGAGCGAGGCAGCTGCACCTGCATGCCCACCGCCACCCTCATGCCCCTCCCCGCCCCCCCTCCGCCTTGCACACCCCCCTGCGCGCCCCCCTGCTGCCACTGCTGAAACGTCGGCCTTCCGCCCCTCGCTGCTGCCTGCCCTTCCTCCACCCCGCTAGGAGCATCCTCATTATTGTGCGCTGAAAGCCCTTCAACAGCACTGCCACCAGCAGCGCCAGCAGCAGCAGCAGAGGGCGTGAGTTCAGGTGCCCCGTCCACTCCCTCTTGCCCCTCGCCCCGGCCCTCGTCTGTCTTCTCCGCCTCCGCCCTCCCCCCGTCCTCCGCCATCCACTCCGGCGCCACGCGCGCGCCTCCCCCCAACCCCACGAGGCGCGCGACGGTGCGCGCGAACTGCAGCAGCCCGGGCGGCACGCCACGCGCGCCTGCTGCTGTGAATGGCGCAGCCGCGCCGCCCGCAACGGCGCTAGTAGCGGGGTCGGGGGAGTGAGGGGACGGAGGCACGGCGCTGCTGGCCCCGTGCGCTGCTCCCGCGACTGCTGCTGCCCCGCCAGCACTCGCTTGTGCGTCCGCCTCTGCTCGCCGCTCCACCTCTTGCGCCTGCCGCACAACGACACGCAGAGATGCAAGGCACGACGCGGACAATGCTTGGGACGGACGGGTAGGAAGAGCGCGTGGCGAAACGACAAGTCGCAACTATCTGACCTGCTCGGACCTTCCCCGATCCCCTGCCACCGCGCATGCACCCGCGCGTTAGTCACCTTCTCGCACGCCACGCGCAGCTGGTGCCACATGCGCGCGCGCCGCTCCGCCACGGTATTAATCTCGAGCGGCTCGGTCCAAGGGTTGGGGTGGGCGCCCTCGTCCGCCGCCACGAGCTCGAGCACGGGCAGCGCCAGCTGCGCCGCCGGGGGCAGCGCGGACACCGGGTGCGCGCCGTCGTCGTCGGGGTCGCGCGCGTACGCGGGCTGCGCGAGCTCGGTGAACACCGCGGGACCCATCGGCACGTTCTTTCTGAATACGAGTGGCTAATAATAATAGGGTAAAGCCGCGTGAAGCTAGTAAATGGTAGAATGTCAGGTGCGTATTTCACAAGAAAAAAGAGAACAATGGGAAATCGGAAATTATGACTTCCAGAAATGTGATGTCGGAACAGGACGTCCGAAATAAAAACAACGCGATCCACAGCAGACGCGAAAAAGGTGAAGCTGACATATGAAAGGGGTGGGTCGTCGCCAGCGTAGTTTACGGGAGGGTCGTCACGACTCGTGTCATGAACTGACCTGAACCGACGCTCACCTCGTTCGGTTTTTGCACGATCGATCCTGCGCATGATCGAATGTTTACGGAGTTGAAAAGGGTTCCTAGTATTTCCAGTGTAACAAGTGGGTTTCAAGTATGGGTTCTATAATATCGATCGTGCAAAATCGGTAGAGGTAAGGAAGTGGTGAAAGTGCAAATATCGCAGGATTGTCTGCATAAATCGAGCCCCACAATCGAGTGGGCAGATAGATTGGCGAAACGTGGCGACCTCGACGTTGTAACGATCACACCTGAGAATTGACAGATCTCCCGCGATCAGTAATCAGTCGCATTCACACACCGTACATAAATCTTGGCCAAAAGCGTTCTGTTGTCAAACTCATTTACTGCTTATTGTGTAGGTTATAGTGGGGTAGCCCATATGGGGTACAACCCAATTAGGGTTTCCTACTTGTACCCATCTTGGTGCTAGTTCATCCATTCCTGCTCGTTAGTTTCAGACATGGTATCAGAGCAGTAGGCCTGTAGGACCGGGTTTTCCGGGCCCACCATTACCTAGTGACCGACTGCGGTTACTGCGTTACCCCACGCCCTGCCCTGCGCTGCGCCGTCAGCCTGAGGTCTGCCCTGCCCTTCCTTGCGTCGCGCTGCCCCGCGCACGCCCTGCCCTTCCCTGCGTCGCGCTGCCCCGTGCACGCCCTGCCCTGCCCAGCGTCGCGCTGCCCCGCGCACGCCCTGCCCTGCCCCGCGTCGCGCTGCCCCGCGCACGCCCTGCCCTACCCCGCGCCCTGCTACCCTGCGCTGCGCGTCGTGCCCTGCTTCAGCCCGCGCGTCGCGCTCTGCTGCCCCGCGCGTCGCGCTCTGCTGCAGCCCGCGCGTAGCGCCCTGCTGCCCTGCGCGTCGTGCCCTACTGCAGCCTGCGCAGCGCGCTCTGCTGTCCCGCGCGTCGCACACTGCTGCAGCCCGCGCGTCACGCCCTGCTGCCCCGCGCGTCGCACCCTGCTGCAGCCCGCGCGTCGCGCCCTGCAGCTCCGCGCGTCGCGCCCTACTGCAGCCTGCACGTCGCGCCCTGCTGCAGCCTGCGCGTCGCGCCCTGCTGCCCCTCGCGTCAGGCACTGCTGCAGCCCGTGCGCCAGCGCCCTGCCCTGCGCCAGCGCCCTGCCCTGCGCGCGCTGGCGCCCTGCCCTGCGCCAGCGCCCTGCCCTGCGCGCGCTGGCGCCCCTGCCCTGCGCGCGCTGGCGCCCTGCCCTGTGCCAGCGCCCTCCTGTGCGCCAGCGCCCTGCCTTGCGCCAGCGCCCTGCCCTGCGCCAGCGCCCTGCCGTGCGCGAGCTGGCGCCCTGCCCTGCGCCAGCGCCCTGCTAAACCCTAAATGAAATTATATATAAAAAAAAGCCCTAGGTGCTTCTGCCCTAGGAGCTACTGCCTGCTGCTGCCTGCTACTGCCCTTCTCTAATCGCAAGCCGCCCTGCTATGGCCGCGCGCCGCCCTGCTCTGGCCGCGTGCCGCCCTGCTCTAGCCGCGCGCCGCCCTGCTCTGGCCGCGCACTACCCTGCTCTGACCGCGCGCCGCCTTGCCCTGACCGTGCACCGCCCCGACCTACCCTAGTGCCTCCTCGCTGCCCTTCCTGCCCTGCGTGCTGCCCTGCTGGTTGCATGACTTCCCTTGACGGCAGCAGTGGGAGTGGTGCCAGGCTGTGGGGGCAGCAGTGGGAGTGGTGGCGGGCTCAGTAGCAGTCACTTTGGAGCTGTTCGTTGGGGAGTTTCTGGCGGTGGCCAGATGCAGCTCCAACGACGTTCGTGAGTGGTACGCCCGTAGGTGTCGTGGCGGCGGCCGTAGTGGCAGTCACGGTGCAGCTAGTCGGTTGGGAGTTTCTGGTGGTGGCCTGGTGCAGCTGCAGTCGCGTCCGCGCGAGACCCTTATGCCCCAGCAGCTTCGTGAGTGGTACGCTCAGTGTGGGGGGTCTTTGAGTAGTGCTCGCTGCCAGTACGTCCTTCGCACTGGTGATCGGGCTGGTCAGACATGCGGGACACCTGGCCACACACAGTCCCGCTGCTTTTCCTGTTTGAGCGACACCTGGCATGCACAGTTTGGCGACGCGGCTAAGCTCCCCCGCTGGCTAGAGCTGCTTAGGCAGGGCGTCGATGTCTTTGCGCTAGACTATGACGCCATCCTTACTGCCATGTATACATTGAATGTTAGTGGTGAGGGTGACTGTTACTTGTGTGTGTCGAACTTATATGCTATAGTCTTTCTAGGCTGTAGTGGGGTAGACAGTATGGGGTACAGCTTTCTAGGGTTTCATATTTGTACCCAGCTCATTTCCTAGTTCACCATTCTCGTTCTAATTATCACATGGTATAGAGCAGGTTCCCTAGTGGGAACGCTTCCTAGGGCCCACCACGATCAACTTTTTTTTCTCCTGCTCGGAGCGCGCTTCACTCCTGCCCGAGTCGCGCCCCGTGTGCCCTCCCTCCCGTCGCGTCCCTAGCCCCTAGCGGCCCGACGCGCCCTCTTCAGGCCCCTCGCGGCCCCTTTCACGGCCCTTCGCGGCCCCTTACGGCCCCTCGCGGCCCCTTACGGCCCCTCGCGCCGCCCTTCGCGGCCCCTTCCGGCCCCTCGCGCCGCCCCTCGCGGCCCCTTCGCGGCCCGACGCCGCCCTTCACGGCCCCGTCGCCGCCCTTCGCGGCCTCTCGCGGCCCCGTCTCGGCCACGTCGCCGCCCTTCACGGCCCCTCACGGCCCCTTACGGCCCCTCGCGCCGCCCTCTAGCGGCCCCGCCGCCGCCCCTCAGCGGCCCCGTCGCTGCCCTACCGCGGCCCCGTCGCCGCCCTCTAGCGGCCCCGCCGCCGCCCTTCAGCGGCCCAGTCGCCGCCCTACCGCGGCCCCGTCGCCGCCCTCTAGCGGCCCCACCGCCGCCCTTCAGCGGCCCCGTCGCCGCCCTCCAGCGGCCCCGTCGCCGCCCTCTAGCGGCCCCGCCGCCGCCCTTCAGCGGCCCCGTCGCCGCCCTCCAGCGGCCCCGTCGCCGCCCTCTAGCGGCCCCGCCGCCGCCCTTCAGCGGCCCCGTCGCCGCCCTACACCGGCCCTGCCGCCGCCGTCGCTGAGCCGCCGCAGCTGCAGCCGAGCCGCCAAGCCGCAGCCGAGCCGCCGCCGAGCCGCCGAGCCGCCGCCGAGCCGCCGAGCCGCTGCTGAGCCGCCGAACCGCCGCCGCCGCAGCTGCGGCCCTGTTCCTGCCGGCGCGCCCCGACCCTCCCCACTCGGACTGGTGAGAGCTTTCCCGAGCAGCGTCTCTGCCACTGCACTACCTCTAGCCTGCCGCTCTCACCCCTAGACTGCTGCTGTCATGGCTACCCGCAGTGTCCTTACCTTTGATGCTGAGGGTCGGGCTATTGACTTTGAGGTCTGGGTCGATGACTTGCAGCTTTTCCTACAGTGCGATAGGGCAGACGGTCTCTCCCTTTTCGATCTGACGTATGGTGCCTCTCCTGCCCCGTCTGCTGATGCTGATGCCACTGTTCGCTCATAGTGGGCCACGCGCGATGCTGCTGCTCGCCTTGCTGTGCGCCGCCACTTACCGACCGCTGAGCGCGCGCATTTTAGTCAGTACAAGAGTGCTAAGACCTTGTACGACGCTGTCGTTGCGCGCTACTCTTCCCCTGCCACTGCTGCCCTTAGCCGCCTCATTCTGCCGTACCTCTTCCCTGACCTCGCCGCTTTTCCCACAGTCCCTGACCTCGCCGCTTTTCCCACCGTACCTCTTCCCTACATAGTGGCGGCAGTGGAGGCGGAGGAGGCGGCGGTGGTGGCGGTGCGAGCGGAGGTGGTGGAGGTGGAGGCGGTGGTGGAGGTAGCGGCGGCGGCGGTGGAGCTGGTCGGGGCGGCTCTTCGCAGAGGGTCGGCTCCGGCGGTGGTCAGCGCCAGCAGCAGCAGCAGCAGCGCACTCGTGAGACCCCTTCCCCCCAGCAGCTTCGTGAGTGGTACACTGCTCGTCAGCGGGGTGGGGGTGCTGGCCCCTGTACCTACGTTCTGCGTACAGGCGACCGCGCGGGTGAGCAGTGTTGGGGTCTGCACTCCACCCAGCGCTGCTTCGGCCGCCTGACGGACGCTTGGCGTCATCAGTTCCCCAACGCTACTCAGATCCCTCGCTGGGGCGAGCTGTCTAGGGCGGGTGTTGCGATCTTTGATCTTGATTATGATGCTATTCTTGCTGCAATGTATTCTGTGACTATTATTGATGAGGGTGACTGTTACCGGTGTTTTCCGCCTGACCCGGGCATTGAGACTGCTGCTCTAGGTGCTGGTGAGGCTGCTGCTCTAGGTGCTAGTGAGTCTGCTGCCCCAGGTGCTGGTGAGTCTGCGCTCTCAGGTTCCGCGTCGGCCCCGGCCACCCACACTTTCACCCTTGACTTGGGTGCTTCCCGCTCCTTCTTTCGAGACCGCACCACGCTTACGCCGCTTAGTCGGCCAGTGGCAGTCTCCCTGGCAGACCCCTCTGGGGGTCCTGTCCTTGCCCACTTCTCCACTGTCTTACCGTGTCCGGCGGCCCCTTCTGGCACCCTGTCGCGTCTTTACCTCCCCTCGTTCTCTACGAACTTGGTGAGTGGTGCTGATCTGCAGGATGGAGGGGTTCACCAGTACACTCCTGCGAGTCAGCGAGTGACCCACTGTACCTGTGCTCGGACGGGCCGTCACTTGGCCACGTTTACCCGTCAGCCGGGGTCGAGCCTGTACACACTGACTAC